TGTTCATAGTAGGTGAAAATTGTGATTTTTTCTTTTCTTTTCATTTCTTTTTTCCTGAGGTAGAAAGCAATGAAATTTCAGCACTCATCAAAGTGAAAATTGATTCTTATCGATTCTTTTTCTGACTTACCCATCAGTTTTCTATCTCTGTTCGAACTTCAATATCTTTAGTAGCAAAAGAGCTGTAAAATAGGAAATATAGTTCTTATGGGAGTTACTTCTGATGATTTCACATTGATCTTCTTGATTTATATACATTCCTTAATCATTTCAATTTTTATGATACTCCTTTTTCTTACATAAGGAGGTTCTTATATTATTTGTCTTGTTCGTTTTTGTTATTTGTAAATGACTTCTTCACACCAATACAAAATTCCGAAGGAAGAACGCGTTCCGACCCAAATTTTACATGTTAGCAACACTAAGTATGTAACAATTGCCCTCAACAAATTCAATGAACAACAAAGGACTATGTTCGAGGAAAGTTGTATAGGACATGTTGTGAAGTTGCCGGAGCTCAAACTATCTGTGCAATTAGTTCATGAATTGGTGAATAGATCTGTGATTTGCCCAAAATGGTTCAAGGCTTGGTTCAAGGTGAACCAAATTTTTGCAAGATTCGGAATGCCTGGGTTCACATTAATCACTGGCTTGAAGTGCTGTGAATTATCTAGAGGGTTTACAAATCCTAGAGAAAACTCGGCTACGGGATAAAATGTTTACTAATAGGGACCAAGTAACTTGTAGCGACCTGGAGAAGGTTTTTTTTAAATGTGCCAACCGGAACGATTGTTACAAGCTTGGGTTGGCACTAATTATTGAAAGGGTATTCAATTCTAGAGACTGAAATGTGGGGATACCTCCTGAAACTCTTTCCATTGTGCACGACTTGGATTTCTTCAATACTTACCCATGGGGGACAGTAAGCTTTAAACTTCTTATTAAATCACTGCTTCGTGGATGGGTGAGAAGGCGGACTTGGCAAAGGTCAATGATTATGACAGTATGTCTTACACGTTGTACAGATTTCCTCTTACTATTCAGGTATAGATGTGTCTATATTTATTTCATTTTTATGTATTTCCATATGGTAACCACTGCCATAGATGTCATCTTCATAAGCTCCGACGACGATGATGTTAGTGAGATATCTTCTCTATTCATTGTTGAGGACATGTATATGTCTTCGTATATCGTCATTTTTGTGACCATTTCAAATAAGAAACATATTGTTATTGTCATGGTTTATGTCGTCGAAGTGGAGAAGTTAATGTAGTTTGATAGTGTATGAACTCTTCAATATGATTTATCTTTGGTGTTGTTTCAAATTTAGTACGTGACTATGTAATGATCTTGAAATCGTAGTACTAAATTTATGTTTGTAATATTCATTGAATGACTACTAACTGTTGAAATGAACTATGAGAATAACGTAGAAATACAAAATTATGTTATTCATGAATGACGAATTCGATGTTAACATGAATACATAAAACATTTAAGTGCCCCGGTTAGTTAATAGTCCGGGATTCCTACACGTTTTCCAGTTGTGCTCGTAACCACTGTACTGTCCACATTTTCGCGTGCTCATCGACCTTTCATGTCTTTAGCATTTTTGTTGGGTAGGAGGTTGTCCTAGTGGTCTACATATATTTGAGGGTGAAATATAGATGTAACGAATCGCATGAGGAATAACCCAATCGGACTCTAGTTGGATGAATGACTTTGTTGTATGTGGCTTTCTAGAACTCAGTGGTGTTGTACGGGGAACATAAGTCATAATGTGTTTTCTCCTTTGCGCAAGCTGCTTGGGATGCATGTGCACATGGTATCTGCCACATTTGAAACTCTGACATGAGAACGTGTTGCCTATAAGGTCGACAGTACACATGTTTGTGCCTATACCAACCTCTAACACGAGTTCATCCAAGTGACGTACTTGTAATGTTGCACCGGCGTCAAATGATTTTCTTAATTCTCCCTCCATGTCCTTTTCCTCTATAATGTTGCACCAACCTCTGAATGTCGTTCTCCTCTCAAAAAATCACTGTTGCAATAAAGACCCAATGTTGTCGACCAACGATGTTATTGGGAAACTTCGTTGTCACCTGAGGACTGAATTAAGGGACTCCGTACTATTGTTCGTCATAATGTTGTATCGGTTACCACCGAAATTTGTACGCGACCATGAAGATATACCAGCACGTTCCAAATGAAGAGCAACTACTGGTTGGATGGTTCTAATCTATCCCATTAACTGTTCGAATTCTGATATGCGGTATGCTAGTGCTGCACGCTTGAACAAGAACACGACATAAACACTAGCCTTTCTGAGTTGTCAACTGCAACTTTCAACTTCGTGAATAACTAATTCTAGGATGCATTTGTTTCTTCGTCAACAATTTCTCGAGCAGTAGGATATATCTGCAAGTTGGCATCCTCCATTACAGTAACTAATAGTGTTCACTTGTACTAACCCTTCAAATGACTCCTGTCAACACAAATGACCGGTCTCATGTAATTTCGAAAGCCACGTATACTCATCTCGAATGCTAAGAAGAAGTACAAGAACCTGTTATTGTTGTCGAGCTCAATGTGCGTAACGGTTCAATGGTTTTTCTCAGTTAACACGTGGCAGTAAGAAAGTAATTTTTGAAAATTCTCTTCAAGTAAACCTCAGAGCCATTCAAGACCATTCTCTTTACCCTTCCAGGCTTTGTTGTAGCTAATTCGTACGCCGAACTCAAGTTTAATATCCCCGATAATACCCGTGGGAACGTACGGTTCGTTTGCATCATCCAATAGTCACATTATTTGTTGTCCAATTAGGGCACTGGTTGCATGCACGTGTGCATTCCGTCGAACATCTAAAGAACATATGTGCTTAGGTGTGTACCTCTAAACCTCAAATATATCTGAATTTTTTATCTACGAAGCTCGTAATAGCCAATTGCTGTTGGTATCTACGTAACATATAATTTGGTATTCGACTTATATCTTTGAAATGAAACTTCTCAGTCAAAGCATGTAGTCAAAGCCTTGTGCGTAGTTGTTTCTTGCTGAAAAAGATTTGATTCTCCTCAATGTCCCGTTGATCTTCCGATTCCTTTGCATTTCCAATATATGGATTTCCTTCTACTAGGTCGACATCCATATCTGAAATCATTCGTGACTCTTCTAGTTCGAACACACCAACTTCTTCATGCCCTACAAATATGGTCAATGGTAAAAACAAAATGCTCAGTAGCTTCGCTAAATTTGTAACATAATTCTCGACATTTGAAACAACATCAAAAATTATAGTTGAAGTGTAATTCTCGACATTTATATGTCGGTCAGACAATTCACCATTTGCATTTATCATCTTCAACAACCATTTTTGCAAGGAATTTATTCCACCATTAATGGTATTGTCAATACATGATAACCATTGCAAATCTGTCTATCAAAGTTATTTAAATGGATTATGACACCATGCTTGAGAAAAACAAAACAATAAATATAAATTTGATTTAAAAATGCTCAAATAATCTTACAACAAATATCTAATAATTATTTGACAAATCTAATCATCAATTTACATCATGTATATAAAACTATTAAATACAATTTATCAACAAAAATAAGATTTCGAAGTTTTTTTTACCTTCTATAGAGAATTGTGGATGAGATTAAATTTCTCGATACGAAATTATATGATTTTCTTTGAAGTAGAAGTATATAAATTTTTTCTGTGAGTTAATGATTTTTCTATTTCATCATCTTCATTTCTACCAAAAAACTATTTGGTAACCTAATAGATAATGAAATAACATTTACCCGTTAGGTATTAGTTTGTATTATTGTAGCTTCTTGTGTAAGCTACTTTTTCTCTAGAAATTTGTGACAAATTGAAAAGAAAAATTGCTTCATTTTTCATTAAGGCTGTGTTTGATAGAGTGCTTTTTCTATGGAAAATGGAAAAAAAATTCAATTTCCACCATAATCACTTGTTTGATACACAAAATTCGGCATGGAAAATATTTTCCCACCCCCCACGCACGCGCCCCTTTTCCAACAAAATAAGGAATTCATTTTCCCAAACTTTTTGGTGGGAAAAGAAATTCCAGCTTCTGGCCTTTTTTTTTGGAAATAAATTTCATAATCAATTATAAAAAAAAAAAAAAATCATTTTAATGGACAATTTCCATGTAAAACGAAATCAAACGAACACCAAACTTTGATTAAAAAAAAAATAGTTTTCGAGCAATTTTTTTTTTTTTTTNTGAAATTCATTTTCTTTTCACTCATTTTCCACACTTGCAATCAAACGGACCCTAAGACTACAAAAGACAATTCGATACCAAATTTAACCATTTTTGTAAGAGTTATCAAAATTAGATATTTTTGAATTGACATTTGACAAGCATATAATTGGCCTTTTTCAAAATTTCCCAAATAAAAAAATTGTTTCATTTTTCATTAAGGGTATAATAGATAATTTAGTACTAAATTTGGCCATTTTTACAAGAGGTATAAAAATTAGACACTTTTGAATTGACAAGCATGGAATTAATTATTTTTGTAAATTCCCGGATATATTATTAAGATAACAGAAACAACTGCACAGATTTGACCCTTTTGATGTGTCTGTATATGTGTTCTATAATAATATGTCAATCATCTATTATCTCAAACCCTTATTTAATTAATTATTATAAACAAGTTTACAACTCTTTCTTCTTCTTGTTGCGTATGAAGAAAAGCTGTTTTTTTAATGAAAAGTCAGCGACTTCTCTCTCTTTCTCCACCTCTCTCTCTTTCTAAAAAGCCATTCATTCTGTGAAAAAAAGTATTAATCTTCAAAATTAAGTCTTTGAAAACCTAATTTATACCAAGAACCTCAAATTGCATGTTGTAGACGTCTGTTTGGTGCAAAAACATGCCAAACTAAGCAAGCCAAATGATTAGACTGTTCGTGTTGAGTTAGAGTGTGTGCAGTCAGTTCTTGCAGGGAATTAATGGAGAGTACTTATCAAGGTGATTTAGCTGATGTAGTTCGAGCCAGTGGTGGTGCAATAGGCAGCAGCAACGCCTCTATGGAAGCACCAATCTTGAAATCTGACTGGCAATTCCCAAGCATCGGGATCGAAGAACCAACCGATGATTTTGGCGATCCATTTTCCATCATGGGAGATCCTCTTCTTCATCATATTGATACCCCTCCAGTACCCGTGTCTGGTTTCTTAGACACGGGAAGAACGGAAGGGTTAACTGGAGGCGGCCGCGGCGGCGGTGGCGGCGGACGAGGAAGTAACAATATTCTTGATGATAATAGAAAAAGGCCTTCTAACATCTTTTCGAGGATGCAGATGTCTCCAAATTCAAAATTTTCCTTATCGCCATGCGATTCTCCGATGGGATTAAAGGCTGCAGCTCCTTTGTTAGTGTCTAATGACCGTAGGATTTCTAAAAATAGCTTTGAAAGTTGTTTGGTGGAAAGTCCTACTGTGCAGATCTCGTCTCCGCGAAATACGGGCATCAAACGAAGGTGATTATATGAATAATCTCTTAACTCAAACTTTGATCTTCTTTCTTGTTTAAATTTCAATCTTATATTTTATGCAACCCAAAAACCGTTGAAACCGCAGGCTTTCATAAAATAATTAACTACTAATTAACGCGAATTTAGAATCTCAAAGTAGGGTTTGGGATAAAATAATTAAACGGCAGTTTAAGAGGGTTTTATATTCTTGATTTCTGTATATGTCTTATGAAATTTTAGGGAGTTCGCTTTCATGTAATTTATTGCATACACTGTTCTTGGACACCCCCACTTACGGGATTTCCGTTGTGTAGTCTTTCAATTTCAGCTTTTTTTAGAAAAGAAGAAAAAGCGATGAAGCTTAAATTCTGATAAAGCCATAAAACACGGTAATAAATTCAATTGTTGGTTCTGATTTTGATACAACCAGGAAGAGTCAAGCCAAGAAGGTAGTTTGTATTCCAGCTCCTGCACCTGCAGACAGCAGACCCAGTGGAGAAATTGTTCCTTCTGATCTTTGGGCCTGGAGAAAATATGGCCAAAAACCCATTAAAGGATCCCCTTATCCAAGGTAAATCTTAGCTTTTCATTTTTCATAAGATAGTTGAACCAAGATTTGTGAATTTTCTTAACTTGTTAATTCTTTTGATTTTTGATCAATTTAGGGGTTATTATAGATGCAGCAGTTCAAAAGGTTGTTCCGCAAGGAAACAGGTGGAACGGAGTCGAACCGACCCGAACATGTTAGTCATCACCTACACTTCTGAGCACAATCATCCATGGCCAACTCAAAGAAATGCTCTAGCAGGATCCACAAGATCTCAGCCATCAAAGAACAATAGTTCAGCTCCAAAGAATTCATCAAGTTCTGATAATCAAGCTCAAAAGTCTACAAACCGGAAGAAAATGATCCATACAGAAAATTTATGCTCACCACCTGTGAAAGAGGAAACGGGTCAAGATTGTAACAAGAAGTTAGAAATGTCTGATGATATGGAATTGAGTGAAGGGTTTCGACAGATTTATAAGCCGGCATTGTCGGCCGATGACAGCAACCACGGCGAAGACTTCTTCGCAGAATTGGGCGAAATCGAGGCTGACCCTTTAGATCTCTTATTAACTCGGGGACTTCCTGGAGAAGAAGGTGAAGAACAAAAGGCCATGAACCCATTCAGTTTCTTCAATTGGAGTACTTCAGGAACCAACCACCACCATAACAGCACCTCATTTGGAGAAGCTAAGAAGGATTCATAGATGACAAGATCCTAAAAACAGCAGAGATCTGATCATATAAACAGTGTTAGCAGTTTCTTTCGGTGCAATTTCAGTTAGGCCATGCATAAACAAGCACAAAAACTAGAAACTGATACATGGGATCTATCTAGTTTATTTTATATGATTTTTACCTTTTTTCTGTAGTTAAATTACTGCTGGTAAATTGGGAGCAGAGAGGCCAGGTCCGCCAGGAGTCCATTTCTCTTGGCATATTACAAGATGGGACAGAAAGCTGAGGAACAGAAGTTGCAACAGTTAAAAAAAGTGCACTTCTCAGATATGACAGGAAAACTCGAGTGGATGGGACAATTTCAAGAGTGGGAGAAAATCATTCAACCATGGTACATACCTCTAAAGGAGCAAAATCTACATTATAAAATTGTCACCTTGGAAAAATTAATGTTGTAATAATGTATGACATTTCTTATCAATCGAGTCATTATGTATATATAACGAATTAAGAGGCCAATATAAAACCATGTTATCATTGTGTTTATTGATTCAGAATTTCTTGTTTTTAATTAATTAGTTATAATCATATTTTTCAATGATATACTAGCTCTCCATATAATTGAACGAAGCTTGAGATCGCTTGAGATTTAGCAGCCCTAATTATAGCTCAGGCCACTCTTGATCTCTAGAATTAGTGGTGCTGCTCGACCTTGAGCAGCGTCAAAAGGGTGAAAGGCCACTCGAAGTCCAGTGGCCTCATGGGCAACCATGGCCATTTGACCTCGGGCAGCTCCAATAATGACCAAGGTCGCTTGACGTTGATACGGATGGCAATGAGACCGGTTGGAGTTGGAGTGTAATTTTTATGCCCATTTCGTCTGGAATTTTCACAAAGCGGGGTGGGCCACAAATTAAATATTTTTTATTAATTACTATCCCATTTAACTAATTATTTATTTATTTAATATCTTCTTTCTCTTTTAAAATACTCTTTTTTTTGAAACACATAAAAATAAAATATAGCCCCGGTTTGGTATTGAAAATTAAAATCTAAATCAAAGTAAACAATTAATTTTGACTATACATTTTATAAGATTTACAACTTTTCAACTATACATTTCATCAACTTTTATCAAAATTTATTAAAAATTTGATTTTAATCTCCACCAAATAAGGGCATAATATAATAATAAAAAAAACTCAAAACGTATTCAAAGAATTCAAACGTATACAGAGATTTTTTGTCATCCCTACCTTGAGAGGCTACTCTCAATCCAATTCATCGTCCACATAGCCGTTTAGAGGAGTCATTTCCTAGATTTATTTCGTATTTCTTGTAATGGATAAGAATACAAATAACTTCATATTCAACTATCTTGGCGCTACATCAGTGAGACAAAGCCTACATATACCCCTACTTGATGGGGATTAAAATAAGATTTTTAATAGATTGTAATAGAAGTTGATGACATATTGGTTGAAAAGTTGTGAAACCCCTAAAATATGTGGTAGAAATGAATTGTTGACTTTGACTAAAATTAAAATCGGTACCGAACAGGGGGATAGGGCTTAGGAATTAAAAGTTTTTCTAGATTCATTCTCTATGTGCTTCTACATTTTTACACTAAAATACATTTCTCTTTAATCCATATTGATTATCATGTGGGAGTTGTCCCTGTCATTTTGCAGTGGAATTTGATCAACGCCAACGCCTATGGAGGAAGAGAAACTAAGGCTGTCAATTTGTCTTTTCGGCTCGGACGGCCCATGAATTGGCCCAAAAAAGTAGATCCGACTTGCGGTTCAATGGAACAGAGCCAAAGCTCAGGCCAAGCCCCATTTTGAGGTATTGGCCCAAGCCAGAGTTAGCCTGTGTGGCTCGTCGACTTGTGTCACGGGTTATTTTCGGCTCGTTATGAGCCAGACATTAAAAAAATAAATCAAAAGCCAGCGGTAGCTCGTACAGGTAGTAGCTAACTGCTTGATAACAGCTGTTGCCTGCAATGGCAGGCAGCAAGGCTTGTTGCCTGCAATAAGCAAAATGAGCCTTTTTTGGGAAAAAAAAAATCGTGAGTCGACTCGACTTGGGCCCCGATTCGGCTCGATAATGCTTGAGATAAAAGCTTGAGTCGAGCCTAAATTTTGTGGCCAAGCACAAGCTCGGCTCGGGCAAAAAAATGCATGAATGATTTTTACTTGAGTCGATCCCGATATAACCATGCTCTTATTTAGGTTCTAAATTAGTCTAGACAACGTAGCTTAATTTGCTTGCATTGGTCTCACTAGTCTTTTGACAAGATTAGTGTAAGATCAATTTTTATAATCACAAAGAACTCAGCAAGATAGTACATTTTGCTAGGGCTGTAAGCAAAAATCGTCAAATCGAAAAATTGAACCGACACCGCATTTTAGAAACCTTCGGTTTGGTGCCACGTGAACCCATCAACGAAATGATTTTGAACCAAACCTTGATTTAGTTTAGGTTTGAGAATTTTAATTGCGATTTAAAATCAAATCGGACCGACGAAAAAATATATAAAAATAAAAAAAATGAAAAAATGAAAATTTCTGAAAAATCCAAATATGTAAAATTCAATAGTTTTTGTCATATGTGGGTATTTTTTGTCAATTTCTAATTTTCTATTACATATATATTATTATTAACCAATAATCATAATTTATATCCAATAATCTCAAAATTAACCTAATATATCAAAAGCTCTTTTCCTATTCAAAATTCAGATGAACTTCAGTCGACACCCCACATAGTCTTGAGCCACTGTACCACACCAAATCGGAGACAAAGAGATCATATGTATTCGGTGATAATATTTGCTACGAGTAAAGTTTCAGATCAATAATTTTTTTGAGCAAATTGAGGTAAGAAATTTGAAATTATATGAGCTTCGCATTTCTCTCAACTATTGGATGATTGTGAAATAAATTTATTCAATTTAATGAAAATTGTTTATCTACTATGTACATGATTTTATTCTATTTGTGTAGACAAACTCTTGTTTTGTGACTGAATTAGGCATGATAAAATATGTCAATAGAAACTAAAAAGTGTTCATGTACAATTTGATATGTGGATGAACTGTTTAATAAGATAAAAGAAACCAACAATGACTCAAGTGGCAATTATACTTGTATCAATTTAATTGTTGTGTTTTATTGTATGCTTAAATATTTTGTTAAATTGTTTCTTTAAGTGTTTTGAATTAATAAGGATGATATCTATTTGGTTAGCCTATTAAAGTCTTGGATTTTGATCCAATAGGCATAAAGTTTATCATTTAAAGTGTTGCCTTATTGATGTCTCAGTAATTGTATTATGGAACTATATGCTTTCATATAAATATTTAGTGTATATATGTTTTGAGTCTTATATTTAGTTTATTAGACTTGTATTGTAACGTTATCGTAACGTCTTAGCCTAAAAATGGTTAACAAAAAACTATTATTATGATTTCACTTGGATTTAGTTGGTATTTAAATTTATAGTATATATATTTAGTTGTTTTAGATTTATTGCTAGTAAGATATAAATATATATTGAATTCAATGAATTAATGATATAAAAGTAGACAGACAAAAAAATATACGACGAAATCGGAAGTTTAAAACTGGACCAAATCGTTAGGTTTATGTTTAAATTTTTTTCAAACTGTTCAAAATGATTTGGTTTAGATTTGAGTTTTTCTTAAACTGGTTTAAACGGTATGATTTGAAAATTTGTCAAAAATCGATAAAATCGGACCGCTTACACTCTTACATTTTGCTGGCATGTAAGGTATCCTTTTTTCTTTACATTGTTGTTTAAAGTATAGTATTTGGCAGGTATGATCTTGACTAGGATTTTGCTAGATTGTCAGATGAAGTTTATCGGAGGCAATTGCATAATCCTATGTAGAAGTAGATGATTTGATAGAAAAATTAATTTTGTTTTAATGATAAAATATATGTAGCATTATGTTAAAGATTATGTCACTATAGCATGATTCGATTGACTATACATTTGGGCAATTTTTATTCCTATCATTTTATAGTATTTGTTAGGAATTTTGGATTATGTAATTTTTTTCTCGTTATACTGTAACTTGATAATATAATTTCTGATATTACACTCGTCGCCATCCAATAAAAGTACAGCGGACGTGCTGTAGAAATGTTGGCCTAGGGCCATAGAGCACTTACAAGAAGCAGTAGGCTCTTTGCCACACTCGTACAGTGCGTGCCAATAGAACGTTTTATAATTTATATGAAAATAATTAATCCTATACAACATTTTCTTTTTTTAAATAAAAGAATAAATTCATTATTGAATTATTATTATTATTATGAGATACAATTCAACGTTCTAAGCCCTCGTTTGATCTTATTATTTTTAAAATATATTTTCTCTTCTTTTCGATAATATATTTTTCAATAAAATAATATTACACGTAAACTTATTACTTTTTTTAAAATTTTTAATCACACTTTTTTAATTAATTTACCATTTAAAAATGCATTCTTAGAAAAAAAAATAGGCTCAAAGAGGAGGTAAGACTCTGTTTGGTTCACATTAATTTTTTCATTCTCATTCTTCTACTCATTTCAACCACACATTCTTCAATAAAATAATATTTTTAATCGCATCAATAATTTTTTCTTCTTTTTAAACCATATATTCTTCATCACATCAACAGTAAAAATACATTCTTACCTTCAAAATATGTATCAAACGGGGCTTATATAATTTTTTTGTCCCAAGTGCCAACATTAAATTATGGTGACTCCTCTTGTGACAGAAGCACTTTTCCATGAATTATTATTTGGTAAATAGTGACCTTAGGTTTTGTCAAATCCATCAACTTTCATAAAAAATTAAAATAATAATAATACTTATATCAACTGAAGTCACTTCCTTGCAAGAGGAAAAAGAAAATAATGAAGTGTAAAGTCGGTATGGTTTTCTCAACCTGATTGATTGGAAGAATGTAATTATGTGCTTGATAGAATTTTGAATTTTTTGAGTTTTATTG